TCATAATAAGCATCAATAATTAAAAATTCAATAATTCATAATAACCATCAATAATTAAAAATTCAATAATTCATAATAAGCATCAATAATTAAAATCTATTGATAATTCATTATTAATCCCAAACGAATATTCAATATTGAGGCTTCAGGTTGAATTTCGAAACAGACCGCTCATTATTTTTTTTATTCGATCCTGAAAATTGAATTAATGAACCATTTTTAATTATTTATAAAAAAAAGCCAGTGTTATTAATAAATTAAATTGTAAATAACATGAAAATCCAAAATTTTCATGACACATGACAAAAAATTCGGATTCATTCCGTTGAATTTTCCCGGAATCGACTGATTTTTCCAGCACAAAATAAATTGAAACTTTTCCTGAACCAATTGTTATTGAATTAATTGCGTTAAAAAATTAACAGCACAATATTTGAATAACATTGTACTAATCTTGTGTATGACTTAATAAATCATCTCATTCATTCAAAGATGAGTGATTATTCCGATACCTTAAGATCCCGACAATATATTGATAACCACAAGAATTCTCCCCAAAATGATAAACAAACGAATTGTTTATGAAGTGTCTACCCCGGAGAGCATCGGACTACTGTCACAACTCCTTCCTCCGACTCTTTCAACACCCTCGACATGTCTCCAGATCAATAAGAGGAAATGCATTCTCCAGGTGTTCATAACGACTTCTAACCGCTTGAATTTTCCCAAGTAGAAATTAATTGAAACAAGTATTACCAGAGGAGAAACAAAACGTCGCCGTAAATTCATGAATAATTAAACAATACAAGGTAGCACAATTGAGACCCTTAGAGAGGAATTCATGTGACATCTCCACCTGTTTCCGGAATAACGTTTCTTTCCTCGGCCTATCTCCAGGGGAATAGCTAATTGTCGTCTAAATACAACCGTCGGTGGAAGACAATAGAGAGTTATTTAGTCGGAGGGAAAATATCCTGAGAAAATTGTCATGCTGACACAAGAGAGGGATGGGGTGAAGGGGTTTTTGCCTGGAAGTTGGTGGGTCTTCGTTGCCACTGGGCTCTGGCGACCTCGCAGCTGGAAATCACCTTTCCTGGTGTACCTTTACAAGGTCTTCTCCATATTTACTATTTTCCTCGTTTATACCTTCACTACTACGTCTATCCTCGGAATTATCGCTAATCATGGCGGCATTGCTGCTGTCATGAGTGACTTCTTACTTCTCTCTTTCATCGCTTGCTGTGGAAAATCTGTCAATATGATTGTCTGTCGAGAGACCATCATCGATGTCATTGATACCCTGCAGACTGATCCCTGCATGCCAAGGGATCCCACGGAAGAGGATATGCAGTACAAAAGGGATCATTTCGTCTGGTAAGGAATTAATTCGCCAACTAAATGGTACACCAACATAAAACACATTTTTTTCAACCTCAGTTTTCACCCAATATCTCGAAATCAAAAGAAGATACGGATTTTTTCATAATTATCTTTCTCGTAGCTCTCAGTATTTTCTACAAAAAAGGTTCAGCTAAAAAATTCGTTATATTTTTTCAATTCCGAGATATTGACTAAAAACCACTTTACGAATAAATTCGATTCATTGATAATGAAATATAATTATTAAAAATAATCATGGAATTGGATGAAAACACGTAATTCTTTATTATATTGCCATTTTAATTCCCAGGACTGACAGATATTAAAAAAAAATATATTTGTTTACGTTATCTCAGCCGATCAGTCCAAATATTATTATTTTTATCGTCAGTTCCAACAACTCAGTATTGATCATGGAAAATAAAATATTTGAATCTGTTCGAAGGATCAATACTCTGATCTACGGAATCTTAACAGAAGTAACCGCAATGATGGTGAGTGTAGGATCATTGCTTCAACATCCAGAGGAAGGAGAACTACCTTTTAACACTTGGCTACCCTATTACCACGATTCAGGCTTCGGTTATCGATTTGCTTACGGCCAGCAGATAATTAGCATCTGGTTCTCAGCATCGATGGCAGTGGCATACGACACTGCAGTACCAGGAATGATGATGGAGATCTGCGCCAAGTTAGACATCCTCAAATACCGCTTTCTCAATTTTAAATCTCTCCTAGAGACGTCTGATAATTTAAGCGCATACGCCAGCGAAAGAAAATTAGTTAGCGAATGCGTTGAATGTCATCTCATTATCCTCAGGTTTTTTAATCTAGTACTCCAATTTGTGGTGGTCTCGCTGGTGGAATTGAAAAAGGAATATTCCATTTTCAGACTCGCTGAAACAATAAACGACGTGTTCAATGCTGTTGTTTTTCTTCAATACTCACTCAGTACTTTATTGATATGCGTCAGTATTTACAATCTCGCTAATACGAATATAATGTCGTCGGAGGGATCTGGTATTATACTTTACCTCGGTTGCATGCTTATGGAGATATTTATTATATGTGCAGCTGGAAATGAACTGACACTTGTGGTAATCACGATTTTAATTTACCAGAATTTATTGATTAAGTCCTTTGAAAATTTTCTCCTCAACATTTTCGAGTTTCTTATGATTTCGATCAATCGATTAATTAATTAAGAATATATAATAATGATGGCGATTATTGGTATGTTTGACGGAATATTTGGCAGAGTGAGAGTATATCAGATGCTATTTACGAAATGGACTGGACAGAATTGAATGGATCGACTATCCAAAGTTTAATCTTGATAATGACTCGCACAACCCATCCTATTGTCTTCAAGTGCGGGTCCATCGTGGAAATGTCACTTGAATCTTTTAAAAGCGTGAGTCCATCACTTACGTTCGAGGAAAGTCATTTGGAAAGTCATTAAACACTTGTATTATTTTACAGCTCGTTAAATTATCGTACTCGACCTTCAATCTACTCCAGCAAACATCTGCGTAAATAAGAAACTTATACGGATCATGTTAAATTGTTTGTTAGTAAATGTTAGCGCCTTCAAAGATTATAGTTATTAAATATCCCGTAGATTCTATTTTTTGTGCTTTAATGTCTTCAGGTTTTCGAATTTATTCCAGTGCTTTTCATTTGAAAATTAAAAATTTTTGGAAAAATATCAGGGGAGTATGAAAATCGAGGAGGTATTCACGGAAATTTGAAAATTCAAAAATTTCGAAAAAGTATGAGGGGAGCATGCAAATCGAGGAGGTATTCACTGAAATTTAAAAATTCAAAATTTTCGAAAAAATGTCAGGGCAGCCTGAAAGTCGAGGAGGTATTCATTGAAATTAAAAAATTCAAAATTTTCAAAAAAGTATCAGGGGAGCATGAAAATCGAGGAGATATTCACTGAAATTGAAAAATTCAAAATTTTCAAAAAAACATCAGGGCAGCATGAAAATCGAGGAGATATTCACTGAAATTGAAAAATTCAAAATTTTCGAAAAAATGTCAGGGCAGCCTAAAAGTCGAGGAGGTATTCATTAAAATTAAAAAATTCAAAATTTTCAAAAAAGCATCAGGGAAGCATGAAAATCGAGAAGGTATTCACTGGAATTGAAAAATTCAAAATTTTCGAAAAAATGTCAGGGCAGCCTGAACATCGAGGAGGTATTCCTCTGGCAGTGGGACTGCTACTGAGGCAGTCCCCGATCCGGCTGACGGGCAGACCCCACCATTACCCCACCATTACCCCACCATTACCCCACCATTACCCCACCATTACGTGTGGCACCCTCTCTCTTTTGGGGTGGGGTACTGCGATGCCGCTGTGGTCACTCAAACCCCCCGAACTGAGCCGCTTCAGTCAATCCTCTTTGGACTTATGGGTGGGAAAGAGAAATGAAACGGCTGCCGCGAAACCAACGTAGTGTAGATGCGCGCGCTGCAATGATCGCCATTTTGTGCACCACATGACCTCGTTGCTGTGTCCCGTGACCAGCTCACGTGAATTTTGACAAATTCAAACGTTTTTTGATATTAAAAAATGGATATTTTGGAGCAGCACCTCGAGCAGCAGGATTCCAGGTATGCAGCATTTATTTTCCGTTCAATTGTTGCAGATCAATAATGAGTAATTACGTATTAACAATCGTCACCTCAAGGTCACCATGCCATTATCTACAGTGCGCACTTAGTTCCAAACATACCCAAGTATTTCTCTCACTTTTTTTTCATGAGGGTATGATGACAATAAAAAATAACATGACAAGTGTTCGTTTGTCTTATAATCGCTCACGATTTTTTATTGGTTACGTGACATTTTCCTCACGATTTCCAGCGGTGGAGTAACAAAGGTTGAGGATAACACGGGTATCGTCATCGAGGAAGCTGAAATTGTTGATTGTGATGGTAAGATTAGGCACATGTACTCCCCTCTTCTTTCGTTTCCTACGCTTACTCCAAATAATCGACTTGGTTTTCTTACTCCATCATTTTCTTCAATTCTTTTCAACGATCTTTGAATTCTTCCTCAAATTAATAAAGAATTAATTAACCGGGAATTTTTATAATGATGGCCGCGGGAAAATTAGTCGAAATTGTCAATGGCCTTCTCTGCCGAAAGTTTGATGCATTAGAAAGAAGAAATTTCTATAATTAATCCACAGAAATCTCTTTCTTAGAACGTAATTAACAGTTCTACTGAATTATTAAATTCGATTAATTATATATACCTCATAATACGTAACCTTTCATATATTTCCGCAAATATTTTCACTCGCAATACTATTTCTCAATATTTTCGGGTTCACAGTGGTATTCATTGGAATATTCCTCTGCCCATGTATTAGAATTAATTGTATTTAATTATAAATGGATTCCCACATTAACACCTGTTCCCGAAATCATTGGATTGTTTCACTCAGGGATTAAAAAAAAGATACGTAATGTCAGTGACATATGTTTCATCGCTGATGAAACATTGGATCCCCTTGCAGGTGACACAGTAGAAGCTGAGGACGGGATGCGTTACCAGGAGACACTCGCCTACAGAGTTGTACAAGTCAATGGTAACGCCGTTGCCAATGAAATCGAATTACCAGTCACTCAACAGGGAAATGGCGCTGTCCAGGTTTTGACATCGCCAATTAATGGACAATTTTATGTTATCGGTAATCCCAATGATGTTTTTTCTACGACACAAGCCACGAGATCATTGACACCAAGAACTGTGCAAATTGATACGCCCAGAAATACAACGCCAGGATTGAAAAAGAGAGATGATAGAAGAAGAGCAACTCATAATGAGGTTGAACGTCGTCGTCGAGACAAAATCAATAATTGGATTGCTAAATTGGGGAAAATAATACCAGAGTGCAATACGACTACCAATGGGAGTGGTAATGGAAATAGTAGTGGTGAAGGAAAGGTTAATTATGAGACCCAGAGCAAAGGAGGAATCCTAGCGAAGGCTTGTGAATATATAACTGAACTTCGAAATGCTAATCAAGGGATGACCCAATGTCTCAAAGAGAATGAGAAACTTCGGCAGGAAGTAGTCGCACTGAAGCAAATATTAACTCAACTGAAACGTGAAAATGCACAATTGAGATCTGGTGGTATGACAACCACTGAATTGGATTCTTAATTCAATTCTCCATGGTCTCCAGCAACTGTAAATACCGGCACCTAGAAATTACGTGTACTAGAAAAAAGAAGAGAAGAGGAGGAAAAAGAGGAAAACTCTTGAAATTTTTGAAAGCCAAATTCTTTCCATTGAATCAATCAGTGTACATGAATAAGGTATTACGTCCGTTTGATGAAGAATAACAACTCTGGGATTTGTTGGTCGAGGCAACTGGCTGTGAATGACGAATGCCATTTGATTGTTAATCCCCAAAATGGACGGAATTATGTTTGTTACTTAAATTTATCATTTCTGTTCTGCTACATTGTTTCGAAAATTGAGTAAAAAAATTCTACGATTTGCAATCAATCAATATATATTTTCCGTTCTTCTGGTTTCATGTGCAAGTCGATAAATCGAAGTAAAACGTACATAATTGATTGATTAATTATGGATGAATAATGTAATATATCGTTGATGTATATACCGGGGTTATTGTTATATTATTATTAAAACAAAATTTACGAAGTAAGTGAATCTGCAGTTGATTTCTCTTCGCCTAATTTCTTGTACTAAAATTGAATGAAGAAAATTGTTGATGCAAATTAATTTTATAAAATAAAACACCAAAGTCACCTGAATTTTGTGCATAATTTTCATTTTATTTTCTTTGTTTTTACATATCGTACAATGGAAATGATACTGGAACTTCTGGAATCCGTGAACATCCGAGGGAATTGGTCTATCGTTTCATTATTTTTGCTTCAATCCCCATTGCAAGATTTTAGGAGCGCCATGATGAAAAACCGAAAGAATCATTATTAAAGACTTTAGATTATTTTACAAATATGGTGGAAATTTTTCAAAGGTATTTGAGAAATAATTGAAAAAGTTCTTTGATTCATCTCCATTCGTTATCTCATCAGTCTCCCATTAATTTCAAGACCCAGCATATTGTCAAGCCTATCACTCTCGCACAAACGTTTCAAAACGTTCAGCACAATTGTATTAACTCGGTTTTTTGCATTTTCTTAACGTATCAACGTTAACATAATTTCACTTTAAATCTATTCAACGCTTATATGTACTCTTTTATTAAACTTCTATCACGTTAACACATAATATGGTACAATAACTAATACTTGATGATTTTTTATTAATTGATATTCCTCATTCTCCATGGAAAAGCTGCCGTTCATACCCACGTTAGGATTATTTCATCCGATTTTATTCCATTCACTTAACACATTGAAGGCAAAGTGTACGTTTTTTTTATTTATTTATTATCGTTAATAGACATTTTTTGGAATAAAATTACTTTCAATTGAAAATAGAACGACAGATAAACTTTCCCAAAGACATTTTTCATCAATATTGTACATGAATAGAATTCCAGGGTTTTATTTTGTTCTCGTTTATTCTAAAATGTGCAAAAAAGCACTAATGGAAATTAGGTTTTCATTGGACCGACACAGATGATAAACTCTCACATCTCTGGGGCTAAAACTGAGGTTTAAAAAACTCAAAATACAGACTGAAGGACAAGGAATAGTTTACAATGATCGAAAACACATTTTCATTGAATTAATCTTTATCAATTTTTGTCTCTTTAAAAACTCCGCATAGGCTCAGGGGCGCTCCACCTTTATTGTCTCGATCAAAAAACGTTCCGTTGGCACTCGAGATCAAATAAATTATTGCAGATTCAATTTGCACACTTCTGGATTTTTGATCCCGTAGCGAATTGGTAAAACGTAATTAAAATGTCAGGAAAATATTTTCGTAGATAATAATATTTTCTACAAAAATCTATTCGTTTTTTACATTCGTTTCTTGAATCACTCTTCTGAATATGATTTCATATTTAACAAAGTGAGAGCAGCTGACTCATTACACTTTACCTCACTGCGGAATTAACTAGTAATTATAGATATTTACAATTTCTGACGAAGGGGAGAGTGGAGTTTTAGGCCAGCAAGCATGGGGATCGCAAAGTACATCAACAAAAAGAATTTCAAAAATGAGGAATGTCCTAATGGCGGGGTATGAATAATTAGTTTCATGCCATTCAATGATTAATGCCTCGTTAACTTTCACCTGGGGATTGGGAACACCCCTAAGCACCCGAGATCCTCAGATAACCGATCGAATGAGGGGTTCTGTGCGGAAAATAGATTTTTCTTATTTATTTACTTAATCCTCCAGGTTTCGGAACGCTTGCTGAATGTCTTCGTGGAGCTGATCAAAATCGGATCTTATTTTTTGTTCCCCATCTTTCACTGGATCCTGTGGAAATTATTACAGACGTTAAAAATAATATATATATAATATTATTTCGTATATTATTTTATTTTTTATTTATGGAAATATTAATTAGAAAAATATATATAGAATTACTTACAAATTTTTGGAATATAGCGGAGAAAGAGATAGAGACAGGAGTATTTACCTTGAATTTCATAGAGCTGAGTTGGTACAGGATATTTCCCATACTATCACGTATAACGTTCCAGGTGATTTTGTTGTCAGACTGTGCTGTGGATTCAACCGCGTGTCTCGCCATATCGTAAAAAGCAATCATATTTCGCAGCATACCAACAGTTTTGTAAAACGGACAGAAACGATCGTAAGGTGAATAACTGTTCTGTTGCAAGAAATCATCCTTCAACAGCTTAGCGACCTCGAGTGTAATTTTATCGGTCTCAGCCAGCGAAGCTTTACCAACCAATTGCACAATCTCCGAGAGGTCTTCCTCCTCCTGAAGGATCTCTTTGACTTTAGTTCGCAGAGGCACGAATTCCTGGAAATTCTTGTCGTAGAAGTCGTCCAGCGCACGAAGATATTTACTGTAGGAAATCAGCCAATTGATGGACGGGAAGTGCTTACGCTGGGCGAGTTTCTTGTCCAAACCCCAGAATACCTGGACAATACCCAGAGTGGCGCTTGTTACAGGATCCGAGAAATCACCTCCAGGAGGTGATACAGCACCAACAATACTGACAGAACCCTCACGATCAGGATTACCAAGACACTTGACTCTTCCAGCACGCTCGTAGAAGCTGGCAAGTCTGGCACCGAGGTAAGCTGGATATCCAGAATCAGCAGGCATCTCAGCGAGACGACCCGAGATCTCACGAAGAGCCTCGGCCCAACGTGAAGTCGAGTCAGCCATCATAGAGACGTTGTAACCCATGTCCCTGAAGTACTCGGATAACGTGATACCAGTGTAGATGGAAGCCTCACGAGCAGCCACAGGCATGTTCGATGTATTAGCTACCAGAGCAGTACGTTTCATGATGGACTCGGTGACTCCCTCGATCTCCACAGTCAATTCTGGAAAATCACGCAGTACCTCAGACATCTCGTTACCACGTTCACCACAACCTACGTAGATGATGACGTCTGAATTTGAGTACTTGGAGAGGGCCTGGGAGATTACAGTCTTTCCACAACCGAAAGCACCAGGAATTGCAGTGGTTCCACCCTGAACGCAAGGGAAGAGAGAGTCCAGGACACGTTGGCCTGTCAGAAGTGGATGATTCGCTGGCAGTTTCTCGGTGACAGGTCGGGGCTGACGCACTGGCCATATTTGCAGCATAGTGTACTTATTGCGTTCACCATCGAACTCGGTTTCGAGGATTACATCATTCACTGTGTAATTTCCAGCAGGTGCGATATAAGTAACAGTTCCCTTGCTCTTGGGGGGCAGGATCATCTTATGTTTTACAAGAGTGTTCTCATGGACAATACCGTAGAGATCACCACCAGTAATATGACTTCCGTTCTTAATATTCAATGGATTAAATTCCCAAGCAATAGTACGGGAGAGAGATGGGGTGTTCACTCCCTTGGGGATGTAAATCGAGCTCGTTAATTCGTTTATGTCCTTGAGGGGACGCTGAATACCGTCGAAAATACTTCCAAGGATTCCTGGACCAAGCTCAACGGACAATGGCTTGCCCGTTCGAAGGACAGGATCACCCACTGTGACGCCACTTGTCTCTTCGTATACCTGAATCGTCGCCATGTCTCCCTCGAGACGAATAATTTCACCTACTAGTTCATAATATCCCACACGAACCAACTCGTACATAGCAGATCCAGACATTCTTTCTGCCGTAACGACTGTAAATTGATGAGTTCAACGAATTACTAAGAATTATTGATAAAATAATTTATTGCTTTACCGAGTAAAAAATATTTTAGCACATGCAGTTCATGGAGAAAAGTCTCCTAATCTGAACCATTGAACCATGAAATTACTGATTTATTTTGGATCAATTAAAAATTTACCAGGTCCGGATACTGCGTAGACATATCCGAATTTTCCTTCCCGGTCCTCATGGGCGAGCTTTGCCAGATCACGATCCGCCATTTTGCTTATTTATTTACCTGAATAGATAAAATAATTAAATTTTTGGTGTAGAGAACAAATAATTTTTTAATTATACCCAGGAATAAACCCCAGGGCAAAAATGAGAGAGAAGAATACATCGAAACAACGAACAATTAAAATGATCACAGAGAAAATTCAAGGACGAATATTTTTTTTTAATGACATCAAGACAAATTCGAAAATTCCAAAAACGAGTGTTTCAACACCTCTTTCAATAATCGATTCTAATAAACATTTAATTTTCAATGTCCCAATTGAAATTTTCTCGACTATTTTGGTTATGCAATTCCAATTTAAATTATGTCACGTTTTTAGCCCATGGATAAGACCCCAGAGAAAAATAAACCACTAAAAAATCGAATTCTTTCAAATCATGTGACCCCTCCCCCATCTTCTATCCGACGATTACCCCAAAATGAACTAACAATGATCAACAGCATGCGTCCCAAAACCTGCCAAAATTTACTCCACCACCTTGAACTCTTGAATTAACATTAATAAATCTACACTGTACATCTGCATGATCCGTAACACTCTGCAATAATCAATCTCGCGGAATTCACGTGAGTTCGAAAAGAAGGCGTAGCCCTCTACCTACTGTGCGCCTGATTGTTCGGCGCAAAGTGGTTACAAAGATGATAAATTAATTCTAAAAATGGCAAAACTAAAAAAACCCCTCGATCTTCCCTCAACCCCCGTCAACATCGTGAATAAACCCCCAACCACGTCATCCATTGAATAATAATGAAATCCCAAGATATTACTCTACAAGTAAAACGATGGCGCAGGGACGATCGATACTACCTGAAATAAATGAATTTGTGGGTAATTTGATTGATTAAATATTATTCACTGTTTCGTACTGTTTATCTCGATCACTGACAATCGTTGACACTTGTCTGTATCCCTTAACAATGATTGGGGCAGTTGTGATTAATCAAAAATAGGTACAAGCGATGGAAAAACTTACTGAAGACGTCCGACTTGGACTGATTCGAGGATACCACCCAGAGGCCAACCTGCCCAGCTATCACAAGACTGGTCAGCTGACTTAACGTCGAGGTTCTCAACTATTTCCCTGCAATCCAGTATTAAATACCCAGACGGCTTCACTATAAACTACAAGTGCGCCAATTATTCAAATTACAAATGAGTTTTTTAAACTCCATTTTTTTCTTCCTTTCCAGTTTACACGAGTTGTCAAATAATTTCGGGGAATTTATAAATGTATATCTTCTTTATTGTTGATAATTATCGGAATTTTTTTTTTAAGAATTTGAATACTAGCGGGAAAAATGGGGGAAATTTGACGGGTGTAGGGACCCTAGTCGGTACGGGTGAATTTACATGACATATTGTTGTTGTTTGATTATTTTCGAAGTTAGAGGAGGGAAAAGAGAAATTTATTTTCTATTTCAGATATTTTTTTCAAGTGGTGGAACCTGAAGAGACTAATGTTTCGAATTAATCGAGACCTCTGTTGCTTTTCGACGTCCGGGAAGTACTTCGCTACTGCACATCAACAGGAGTTAATTGTTAGGGATTGTAGAACATTGGAAAGTGTTCAAACATTCTCTTTTCAGGATGTTATTGAAGTGAACTTCTAATTTTGTACAACTCATTATAGGTTTATATCCTTTGAGTAGATTTCCAACAGAGTTATGCAATTTTTTTTAACATTTCAGTATTTGGACTGGTCTCCTGGAGGGCAACTGATCCTCTGTGCTAATATCAAGAAAGGAGTCATTCAAGTTTACTCGATCAAACATCCAAAATGGAAATGTAAACTGACACAAGGAAGTTGTGGGATGGAAAGGGCCTTTTGGGGCCCTGACGATCGTTCGATCTTGAGTATTTCAGATTTAAACGTAAGCCCATTAATTATTTCCATCTCATTTATTTCCTTGCTTTGAATTATTTCACGCAGGAGATACTACAATTAATAAAATAATAATAATACACGATCTTCAACAATTCTCACTCTATCCGATTTGGAATTAATTTCAAAACCGTTCGCTAAATCAATTTTTTAGATTCATTTATCGATTTGGACGTTGGATGATCATAATTTAACAAATATCTGGAGCTTGAAATCCTCAGCCCCCCAGAGCATCGCCCTGAACATCCCCCAGAGGCAATTGTCAGTTATAGTATCGAAAAAGGGAAGGGACTGGATCGAAATATATGAAACCAACACCTGGAAATTAACAAGAGTGAGTTTACAAAAAATCTTTATTCATCTTTCTCTCCCAGAATTTTTGAAATCTCAAAATCATAAATTTTCACAGCACGATCAGAGCTGCAGCTCGCCAACTGCACCATTCCCTCTTTACCTTTAGGTCTAAACGATAATCTTTTAACAGTTTTATGATGCGCAGCAGAAGTATCGAGTTCCAAGCAGTTCACAAATTTTGCTTCACCGTTCTCGAAATTGATTACTTTTACAGCAATTCTGCCCTCCTCGACCCCAATAGCCAGGACATAATTATTTCCCTCTAAAATTACTCGATGGAATGTAAGGGCGGTAACTGAACTTCCCTGAAGGTCCAAACTCCCCACAGGTTGAGGATTTTCCCCATTTAAAATATTCTCAACACACCAAACTCCAATTTTACCCTCTCTCGAACCAGTAGCAAAATATTTTGAATCAGGACTCCAACAGCAACACCAAATTATTCTCGTATGAAGAGCATTGACAGCAGGACTGACTACAAGCAATTCGTAACTCGGACCTTCGTCATCCGCATTTTGAAGAGATTTATAAAAAGCCCATCTCCTGTCTCTCGACACGGAAACGAGAAATTCATCATTCGGGGAGAATTCCATCTGAGTCACTGTCAACCTGTGCGCAGAAAGTTTCTGAACTTGTCCCCAGGTCTTTGTACTCCAGAGGATGATGCTAGAATGTTCTGCGTTGGCTGATTTGCAAGAAGTTGCAAGTATTTTTCCATCGTGTCTCGCTGCCATTGCAAAAATCTCATAACCATGACCGTACAATTTCTCCAATTCGGGCCAGAGGGTGTACCTGAATAAAAAAAAATATTTCGCCTAATTCAGGAAGAATGATACAATTTAAATCTAATTTTAATGAACTTCTAAGAGTCTTCTTTTGTCTGTAAAATAAAAATTTATCGGCTTTTCAATTTCAAAGTACCTAACAATCTCCTCCTCAGTGGGCAGTCTCTCCCCTCTGAAATCATCATCATCGACCTCATCATCGATGACTTGTCCATCAATTGCCTTATTAGTTAGCCCCAATGCAGGAACTGACGCTCGATCCCCTGCACTTCTAGGATTTCTCCACTCTAACTCATTTAAACATTTCTGGAAATACTCAGGAGCCTCGAAAACTCTTACAACTTTCTCTTCTGCCCCTGATGCAAACATCCGAGGTGATAAAACTGATAGACAATTGATATCATATCCATGAATTTGAGGTCTAGCTATTTCATGCCAAATTTCAGATGCTCCAGATATTCTCCAAGGAACGTGAACCCTTGTGGTTTGATCCAAACTCGTTGTGATGAGATAACGTCCCTCAGGATCCCAGTGCAAGTCACTGACGTCTGAAAAATGTCCACTCGGTGCAGCCCTTGGGGTCCACCTCTGCAACTTCTCCTCAAACCTCCACATGTGGAATGTTCCTTGATATCCATGAGCCAGCACACTCGATCCATCTTTATTAAAGTTTCCTCCATAAAAACCTAGAGTATTACCTCCCACTTTTCCTAATCGAACAGTCTCCATCCAGATCCCAGCAGAATTCGGCTCCCAGATGATCATAGTTTTATCTAAAGCACTTGAGAGTAATTTATTCGGCCTCTTCCACTGTCCATTCACTAAAATCGGTGGATGCCAACGGACAGC